TACACATCCCCTTGTTTAGACTGTTGACTTTATGTAGAGAGTAGCCTGAAAAACTTAAGTTACAGTTTTTCATGAATGCAAATTAAAAGACTACAAATTATGCTTGTTTTGTTTGTCCAGGCTGGAAAATTGGATCCACATCTGGTTCTAGATCAGCTCCGTTGCAACGGTGTTTTGGAAGGAATAAGGATTTGTCGACAAGGATTTCCAAACAGAATAGTGTTCCAGGAATTTAGACAGAGGTAACAGCAGGAGCAGTCTTCTGAGTTTTTATGAGATAAAATTCGTTGTTAAATAGTTGTAGATGCTCCCCACCCCCAGCCCAACTGGAAGAAAGTCCACAACCATTTGTGAGGTCTCCAAGTGGCTTGGACTTGAAGCAGTTAAATACTACAGGTTTATTCTAAAGACACTAGGAAAGGGGAAAACCATCTAAAATGGACTTCTAAGAAAACTTTCTGTAGTAATTCCTTAGCTGTGCTCTTGGTGACTATAGCTTTATGGGTTTATAATAATGTAGCTTATTGTTGAATGTAAAGGTGTTTTTTTCTTTTTTTAATTTGACTTAAAGGTATGAGATCCTTACTCCCAATGCAATTCCAAAAGGTTTTATGGATGGTAAGCAAGCCTGTGAGCGTATGGTAAGTGTTTATACCTATATATTGTTAAAACATTGAAAAGTTGAAAGAAAAATTGTCCTTTCCTTGATGTAAAAACAATACGTTTGCCCCCCTTCATTTAGATCAGAGCATTAGAGCTGGACCCCAACTTGTACAGAATTGGACAGAGCAAGATCTTTTTCCGAGCTGGTGTCTTGGCACACTTAGAAGAAGAACGAGATCTGAAGATCACAGACATTATAATCTTCTTCCAGGCAGTCTGTAGAGGATACCTGGCTAGGAAGTATGTGTCCTTTTACAGTTCGATTTTTCTCGTGGTCACCTTAAGTGTCTTTGATAGGGAGCTGTGCATTAAAACTGCCATTTGAGGAGAAGTTTTCTTAAAGTGTATTGCCTGATTAAACTGTAGTTGTATCCAAGGTAAATAAGTGACTTTTTATCTAATAATAAAAATTTGTACACTCGTTCCGTAGCAATATCTCTTTTCCTTGATCTTCCCTTTGTGACACACACAGCTGTTTATGGTACAGCTAGTGGCTGCAAAAAAATCTTTCTGCTTCACTGGGAGTTCTTGGAGACACTTCTGGAAAGCTGCTTTTTTGAAATTAAAGGACAGATCAGGATCTAATCCATCCTGATCTTATCTTTTAAGAAAAATCATCTGTTAAGAGTAAGAACAAATAGCATTTGTAATTGTTTTGAAAATGGTGAATCCAGCTTTTGGTCTGCCTCCTCATATAAGGAATGAGTACTCGTAAATCAGTGCCATCACTGAAACTTAAAAATAAGCCTGTTTATAATCTGCAAGTGTTCTAGGGTAAACTAAAAGTTAAGAACGTGGACAGATGCTCAGCTCTATTTAACATGAAATGTTTTGCTCTTTCTGTCTCCAGGGCCTTTGCGAAGAAACAACAGCAACTGAGTGCACTGAAAATCCTGCAGAGGAACTGCGCTGCATATTTAAAGCTTAGGCACTGGCAGTGGTGGAGAGTCTTCACAAAGGTTCTTTATTTTCTCTCACTTTCTTTGCCTTTTGTAAATAGGTAGATGCAGGTTCTTACTTGTTCATTTCAAATCTTTGCAGGTGAAGCCTCTTCTTCAAGTCACTCGTCAAGAAGAAGAACTTCAAGCCAAAGACGAGGAGCTAATGAAGGTGAAAGAAAAACAGACAAAAGTGGAGGCAGAACTTGAGGAAATGGAAAGGAAACATCAACAGGTTTGTGCCCAAGATCAGCTTTTGATATATAGAATGTATACCGCACTGTATCCTGTGCGAGGGAGCTGTGTTGGGGAGATGCTTGTGAGCAAAAGCACTGTGATTTGGGAGAGCTAACTCCTTTCACACTCTGCTAAAATCTGGAATAGGAAGATATAGATGAGCTATTTCTCCAGGAATGCAGAAACATCATGTTAATGAAATGAAGGGGTTTTTTTTGCCTTTTCTAGTTTACAGGAGAATTTCAGTAGAAGTGTCACTTTCCTTTTCAGATGTGTTTTCAGGGTAGGCTACTGCTGTGGTGCACACGTGCTGTTTAAGACATAGGGAAGCAATTACGACAATTACGGCACAAAACTGAAAATGAATTTTTGCTGAGAAGTAGCATTGATATCAAATTAAAGAGCTTGAAAGAATGTCAGTGAAGATAGATGTGTACACTAGAGTAATTTTGAGCCATGATAGAACTGGGCTGGATGTCTAGAACGGCAAAGCAGCAGTTCCTGTTGATGAAAGGGCTGGAAGGCACGGCCTGGGAGGAACGTCAGAGGACACTGGGTTTGTCTAGTTTGGAGAAAAGGAGCCTGAGGGGTGACCTCATTGCTCTCTGCAGCTTCCTGAGGAGGGGACGTGGAGATGGAGGTCCTGAGCTCTTCTTGCAGTGGGATATCCTCCCTAAACTGAGGGGACAAGAATGAATATCGCTGTAGCTCTATTACGAAAGCTGGTGTCTCCTGGAGTGCTGAGAAAGGCCTCTGCTAAAAAGTTGGAGCAGAACTTGGCCCTTAAGTAACTTTGTAGTTGTCATAATCTCTCATGAGAGACTTTTAATGTCATTTTTACTGCTTTACTACCTTTTGTGTGTATTTGCAGCTTCTAGAAGAGAAGAACATTCTTGCAGAGCAGCTCCAGGCTGAGACGGAGCTCTTTGCAGAAGCTGAGGAGATGAGGGCTCGCTTGGCTGCCAAAAAACAAGAGTTGGAAGAAATTCTCCATGATTTGGAGTCCAGGGTTGAGGAGGAAGAGGAAAGAAACCAAATACTGCAGAATGAGAAAAAGAAAATGCAGGGCCACATTCAGGTACGCGTCTTGGTAACTGGAAATGGAAAAACACACAAACTGGAGAGTGAAGGGTGGGAAAGCTCCCTCCGCAGCTCTGTGGCACAGAGGAATTTAGCTCCTTAGCACCGTGTGTGGAATAAAATCAATCTGAATTTTTTTTTCTCCTCCTGTGGTTAATGTTTAGCTTCTTGCGGGCTCCAGGCATATGAGGGTGAGGAAAGAAAATAAAAGTCAGAATGCCCTGTTGGTAGCTATGGTCTGTGCAGGTAGAGTATGAAAGGTGGCAAGCACTGCTGAGTGGGGAGGAACTGGGAATGACCTCATGGGGCTTGCCTGCCTGCTTATAGAAACAAACACTGACAGGATGATGTCACTTAAACGAGAGAAATGTTCATTTTTGGCTGAAATCTAGTGAATATCACAAAGAATGTTCTTTTTTTGACTTTTATTAAACTAAGACAACTTCATCTCCTCCAAGTTACTTGGGGTTTTTTTGGTGAAAATCAAATGATTTAGATGCTTCCTTTTGAATATATAGAGACCTTGAAAAAAGGGAATAGCCGAGAACTTAACTATCTTTCAAAATATTCAAGGTACTTGGCAGGGAAATAAGCCCCACTTCTCACACCTCTTGATGCCTTTTAATAAGTGCCCATGAATATGTGTCTGAGAATCTGCAGTATGCTAGGAAGTCTTTGACATAAAGCCTGATCTGATTTGGTTGTCATTAAATAGATTTTTTTTTTTGACGTTTGGAATTAGGAAGGTGAAAGACTGAAGTGAGTGTATGTTTCCTAGACAGCACATTCCAGCCAAAGCTGAAATACAGAATATAAAAAATTCCATGTGTATCACATGGCCCTTAATTTCATTACCAGATTATAGATACGACAAATGAATCCAACAAAGTGAATGCATTTTTAGTGTTACTTAGGGCAGGTGGCTTTTCAAAATAATAAATTTTTTCAGCAAGTTAAAAAAAAAAAGACAAAACCCAGACACATGGATAACCTGGAAAGTGCACAGATGCAACTGCCTTTCTTCCCAGGACCTAGAGGAACAGCTTGATGAGGAGGAGGGAGCTCGACAGAAGTTACAGCTTGAAAAAGTGACAGCTGAAGCTAAGATCAAGAAGATGGAGGAAGAAATCCTACTGTTGGAGGACCAAAATTCCAAATTTTTGAAGGTGAGACCAGTATGCACAGTGGAGATTCTACACATAAGTAATAGTAGTACAAAGTGATAGCTCTCCAAGCGTTTGACGCTGCTGTTACATTGTCTGTAGAGTCTGTGCCTGAAGACTTGTGGGGTTTGAACAGGTTGAAGCTGAGACACTTAGAGCTTCTTTTAAAGTGACCTTTAAAAGGGAGGTATTTGCCATGCATTCTTTCCAATTTTATGAGCCTTCCAAATCTAAGAGCTGGAAACAGTGTTTATCATAGCTACCGTTGTTCTTTGGAAACAGATTTCCAAAAGCGTACAGCAAATGTTGTCCTAAAACCAGGCCTCCTGTGTGTTAAATTCCAAGTCTCTCTTTCTTGGAAAACAAGTGTTCATGTTTCTATACTATTCCAATTGATCCTTAATATTGGCAGGTCAGTCACTCGAAATAAAATCTGTGTTGTATGTGCTGTATGAGACCTTTATATGGATTTTGTATATTCAGTTATTTGTGCTGCTTAGAGGCTCTTCAAATTGTATTTTAGAAGTTATTCTTTCTCCCTTTTCTCCTAACTAGGAAAAGAAGCTGATGGAGGATCGAATTGCTGAATGTACTTCTCAGCTGGCTGAAGAAGAAGAAAAGGCCAAAAATTTGGCCAAACTTAAGAACAAACAGGAAATGATGATCACTGATTTGGAAGGTTTGTTCTTACTACATTTGCCTATTAACAGCTTGGACATCACGCTAGAAAGGAACGGATCCTGTACTACAGTGTATGCAGGATCTGGTCCAGTCTGCTAAGTGTAACCTTATATGTAGATGCCTTAATGACTGTTATTTTTATCTAAATCTTGAAAGAGATTTGTGTTGCTTGCAAGACTTGTTGCATTTGGCTGCTCAGTCTTTCTCATGTTTAACTTGTTAGTTTTTCATTTTTGAGAATCCATTTAATTTATAGATGCACTGAGAAATTCATGTTGTTGGGTGCATCCCTTAGTAACAAGGTAAAACATCTGTCTCTTGAAGTCGTTACAGTTTTCTATAATATGTTACAACAACGTATTTCTAATATTTTTTGAATAGGCGAATCTGAATTGTTTTGCTTTTCTTAATGCTTTGTTTATCTCAAATGGCTCCATTTTTTTGGCCATTTATTTCTGATTGTTTTGCCTGTGTTGTCAATAATTGTAACCGAATATGAAACCTTTCTTGATATTACAGGGTTTTTTTAAATTACTTATGTCTGTAAATAGCTATTGTGCAACATTAGTCAACTGCCAAGTCAAAGTTGCAAGACGTAAGACAATTGCTCTCTGTGCCCTAATTTGGAAACAATTTTTTCACTTACTGTGTTATGGCCTATCTTGCTACATATTTTAAAGCTGATGTGATGTGCTTATGGAAGTATACCAAGGTTTAATCTTATCTGTGTAGGAAAATATGGAACTAATAGGGATAGTGTATGATTGGTGTACTTTTTCTTTAAAAATCATATTCAGAGACCGTAAGATGGGCGTAAGTAAGCTTTACTCATTGGAAAATAATCCTTGGGTAGTTGTGTGCTTAAATCAGGACTAGTGTCTCTGAAGATACTTGACAGATGTGTTTGGTTATGGTGCTGTTCCAAGACTGGCCTTAGAAATGGAAATTAAAGCTTAAACATAAGGCATGCAATTTCTTGGCTAGTAAAGCACAGTAAAATGATATTTACTCTGAGATGATTCAAGAAGCGATTTGAGGTTTCTCTGTGCTAGGGTCTTGGCACTGCTAGGTACTGACATTTGAAGGGGGGGAAAAAAACCTAATTCAGTTTACTGTGAGCTTTTATAATTGCAAAATTGGGTCTTAAGACAGTGTTCCAGATGTCACTCACCAGAAATATTATGTAAAAACAGAGGGAAAAGTGCTATTCTTTTTTGAATGAGGAAGTGTTTAGAGAAAAACGGTGCTACTTTAGATTGGCTGGAAAATCCCAAGTAGCCCTGTGTGGCTCCAAGAGATGATTCTTGAACGTGGCTGCCTTTCCATGGAGGAGATGATATCCTGATCCAGTAACAGGCTGAGGAAGGGCGTGAGAGAAATCTCTGCACTGAGGACCCGCAAACTATTGACCAAGTCTAATAATTTATGTTTATGCTAATGCCTATAGACTAATGCTATGCTAAGCAAAACCTTTGTGTGATTTAAATACATACCTGGTCTGTAAACAGCGCAGCCAGTAACTATTTTAATCAGCCAACAGGCAGATCACCTAAATGTATTTTATTGCCGGGGCGCTGATAACTGGCTGCTTTTCACAAAGAAGTGCCTTAGGGCAGGAGGATCTTGGCTACGCAAATTACTGGAAGCTATCAGGGTTGCAAAGTCTTGCTAAATATAAATGGGATGTGAGTTAGTGGCACAGATACTTGCAAAAGTTGTCTATCCAAGTTTTCTTTAAGCTATACTATTTTCCAGTTGACCTTTTGGAGTCTAGCCTAGACCTTCTAAAACTACGCAAGCCATCATTTTTTCCAGTCCTTAGTAGTTCTTCATTTGTGAATCCTCGTGTCAGTGGTCACCTGCTGTAGCAGCTCAAACTGCTCTTCTGTTAGATCCCACTCGTTATTTTCTATCAAAATGAGGTTATGCTTCCATTCCCTTAATTCAAACTTTTGCCTTCAGCCATTGACTTTCTTGACTTTTTTATCTAAATCATATGGTTCAACTTTGCTAATTCATCTTGCCCAGTCACCCTTCCAGCTACAGACTAGAGAAAGCATTGACACAGCATATATTCAACTTCCCACCCTTCTTGCCACCCCATTGCCCTGCCCCTGAACCTTCTGAGGATGACAAGAGAAAAAACTCCTTATAAATATAATTCTTTGCTTCCTTAGAGCGCTTAAAAAAGGAGGAGAAGACCCGTCAAGAATTAGAAAAAGCTAAAAGAAAACTTGATGGTGAAACAACAGACCTACAGGACCAAATAGCTGAGCTGCAAGCCCAGATTGAAGAACTGAAGATCCAGCTGGCCAAGAAGGAGGAGGAACTACAGGCTGCCCTTGCTAGGTCAGAGCATGATGAGGCTTATGACTGCAGAAGTGTGGTAAAGACTTCCTTTCCCAGACAGAATTTCAGCTGACTGCAAACTTATCAGTTAGAACTGGGAATGTTAAAGTTGATGCCAGTTTATGTTTGTCCTAGAGCATCTCTAGACACCTGTGAGCTGTGTGTAGACATGGCAAAAAAAGGAATTAGGTGTTATATCAGCATCCTTGCTCTACAAAGCTCCAAAAAAACAATGTTTCACCAGGTTGTGAGAACATTTGGGCTCTGGAAACTTTTTTTAGTCTCCCAGAGTTCAGCCTCAGGAGGGAAAAAACCATGTAGTTCTCAGAGAATGGTCTTAATGGTCGAAGTACTTGATAATGTGTGTCCTACTCATAACATATGTCCTACGTACATTTGTGTGGTAGTCTTGCACCCATGTATTATAATATAAACTGAACACCTTTTGTATTTTTTGAGTAATGATCCATAATTTTGTGAGAAGAGGAAATTCTACAGATGGGGTGCATTTTTGGGACAGTCTTGAGATCTGCGAAGCTGGAATACTTGAATGTAAACTTGAAAACTTGTTCTTTCTAGTAGTGCATCTGTAGTACCTGGAGCACTGCACTTGTTAGGGTCTTGAGAATAACAGTGCTGTAGTGGCTTTGTACCTAGGACGTTTTAGAGGGTCTGTTTTATTCTAGTGGGAAAGTTATAATTTGAGTATATAACTTAAATAACACTAGACTGTTATGAGAATAGATCTGAAGCTGCAAAATACCATGGACTGTTGTGTCTCTGTTTAACAGAGGTGATGAAGAAGCAGTTCAGAAAAACAATGCACTGAAAGTGATAAGAGAGTTGCAGGCTCAAATTGCAGAGCTCCAGGAGGATCTTGAATCTGAGAAGGCGTCACGCAACAAGGCGGAAAAGCAGAAAAGAGATTTAAGTGAAGAGTTGGAGGCTTTAAAAACTGAACTGGAAGATACCTTGGATACCACTGCAGCACAGCAAGAGCTGAGGTAGGATCGTACGTCTGTGTAAGAAGACATTGAAATTCATCTTTAATTTACAAAATTGTTGATTTTGATAACCATTGATGCTTCTTCTAGGACAAAGCGAGAGCAGGAGGTGGCTGAACTGAAGAAAGCAATTGAAGAGGAAACCAAAAACCATGAAGCACAGATCCAGGAAATCAGGCAGAGGCATGCTACTGCCCTGGAAGAGCTCTCTGAACAACTTGAACAGGCCAAAAGGGTGAGAAGAAAATGAATTGCAGATATACACTTTTCTGCTTCAGGATGTTTTATAAGTAACATAAGTGTTGTGGTCCCTTCCACTGGTATCTGCAGATCTAGATTGTCCTCCACACAGGCATAATAATTGCAATTGAATCAAATGTATTACCTGCTGATTTGAATATACTGGAGCTACTAGAAAGTCTTGGCATCTATCTGCAAAATGTTCATCAGACTTGGAAATGGTGCACCTAGAGATAAATTCATGTAGTATTTTTGTGGGAATTCTCCAGCAGCCCACGTGCTTATTTGGTGAAAAGTCATTCTCTGCATGAGTGAACCACAGAGTGCTTCCAAATACGGTTATTGTAATGTCAGCACTCACAAATAACGAACTGAGAGTCTGGGTAGTGTGAAAGCTCTTCCAGCCACTCTTACCTCCGTGCTCGTACTGTGCCCTCCAGTGCTAGATACCTGTGGAGTATCTTGGCAGTTTGCAGAGCTGTGTTGTGTTCTCCGGTAACCAAACCGGAGCAGGCAGGAGGAGGCACACCTGGATACCTTGAGTGTTTTCTTCAGAAGCAGAATTATTCCAACACTGCCAAAAGAAAAAAAATATCTTTAGTTTTTGAAATTATAGTTTTGGTCATTCACAAATGTATGTGTGGACAGTTCATATACTGTAGTAATATTTTTGTGTAAGGAATTACCAAGCTTCCTTAGTTTAAAATACTAAGTGAGAAATACAGTAGTTAAAGCCGGTGGAAATTATAGTTTACTCACCTAAAGATCTTATGCATGTCTCTTGCTCCTTATTAATTAAATATTCTTAATAAGAGCATGAAAATATGGAAAAATACCCTGCAATCTTAAGCAAAGGTCCTGTGATAAGATGATGTCAGTTCTGGTGATGAAGTAAGAACAGCACTTAAACATCCTCTATGCCAATTATTAATTTTTTTAAGAGGTTTTTGACAAATGTCAGTGCAGTGGTGAAAAGTGCTTTGTTATGCACTTCCAGGCTTACGCCTACTAAAATCAGGGCAGCGTTAGCTGATACCTTCCCTTTTATTTCTGTGAGATGAGCCATGCTGATCTGTTAATGGGCGCGTTCCTTCCTGCTTACAGTGCTACTCACACAGTCGTTTTACAGCACTGACGTCCCAGATCTTGTTGAATTCATAGAAATATCTTCTGGTCCTTGCTGTTACCTGTGAGATCTGAGAGTGGAATAACTTGTGTTAACTCGGGCTTTGGCTAACGTACACAGAATGTTACATGGCAGCACTTCAAACACTCCTTCCTTACAACTTGCTGAGCACTTGTTTTATCTTTGGACTTGTAAACCTGATTTGCTGGACTGAATCTTCTTAGCAGAAAACTCTATTGATATGTGACAAAGCATTGAGTTTATTTCCTTTTTTTTTTTCCTAGTTCAAAGCAAATCTTGAAAAAAACAAGCAAGGCCTAGAGTCCGACAACAAGGAGTTAGCCTGTGAAGTGAAGGTACTGCAGCAGGTCAAGGCAGAGTCTGAACATAAGAGGAAGAAGCTGGATGCTCAGGTTCAGGAGCTGACTGCTAAGGTCACGGAAGGAGAGAGGCTGAGGGTGGAACTGGCGGAGAAGGCTAACAAGCTGCAGGTAAGGCTGTGTGGAAGTCCTAAACTGCTGAAAAATACACAAGAAAGTAAAAGCCCTAACCATATGCAGAAGTGGCTTAGGAGACGTGGCTTTCAAAGATGCAGCTGTGTCTACAGGAACTGGGTCTGTAGCTGGTGTGGGAGGTGATCTCAGTCATGCACTGGTGCCCTTGAGGGGCCGTAAAGTGGTGACGTGCCTCAGGTGGAGATAGCTGGACAGCCATGACGTTAATCCTGAACTTTTCTGTCTATGTGAGAATTATAGTGGCTTTTAAGTACCTGGCTTCCCATCCTGGAGACTAAATCCTGTAGGAGGCTGTGCTGACAGCTGGCCTACAGGTTTTTGGCTTGGATGTGGAACTGAGTAGATTGGGCTGAGGTTATTTGTAGGTGTGAGCAAAAATGTACTCATTGATGATTGGCCACAGGTTTTTTGGTGCCTCAACACTGAGAGCTTGACAGATAGGGATTGCAAGTAAGGGCCTGTTCTTCTGGGAAATGAAGAAAATGGACAAAATGTGTCCAGGGCTGACTTTTAAACAACAGCAATGAGTATTTTAGGTAAATCAAGCTAAAGGGCTTCAAAAGGGGAATGGCCCAGTTCTTTTTGGGAGAAACTTTCGAGCAGTCTCTCACTGTATATACAAGTAGCACATCCTAAAATAGCAAGAGTTGACACCTGGCAGTAACCTTTCCTCTTGCGGCTTTAAACCCAGCTGCCACCCTGATAATCCCTGAATTAATGGTCCTGTAAAATATATGGTCCTATAATTAAAAATAGCATTTAAGTATGAATGCAGATACTGGAATGACGTGTTCTGCAAAATAGCATGGCCGGCTCTTGTTCTGTTATACCCCTAAGTTCACAATTGACATCCAACTTCAAGTTTCTAACCAAACTTCAGTGTTTTTAGCTTTCAGTATCTCTGTCCTGGGATCTATTGTTCTCTTGCCATACCTGGAATTTGTTGAGGTTTTGTGTTCTGCAGTTCCAGCTCCCAGTGTGATGTAGGCTTTGCCATGAGTCAGCTGCATGCTGTTACCCATAGACTGCTTGCTTTGCAGAACGAGTTGGATAACGTCTCAAGTCTCCTGGAGGAGGCAGAGAAGAAAGGCATCAAGTTTGCCAAGGATGCGGCTAGTTTGGAATCTCAGCTTCAGGATACGCAGGTGTGTGTGCAGTGAAGCTTGACCTTTGCACTGAAGCTTTGTTCCTTGTTGGAGTGCTAACTGCATAATAGAAAAGATGTTTTCATTCATGTTTGGAAGGTCCCTTAGGTAGAAGCTGTAGTTCCTATTGAAGTTTAGTGAAATGCGATGTATAATGACTGCTCAGCTACATGTGGAACCAATTTTTCATTATCTAAGATTCACTACTTGATAGACTGTACCCTTTCAGTTTCTATTTCTTGGTCTCTGTGGGAGATAATTATTAAGTCGAAAAGCATTTCCAAGTAGAATGTTAATGTAAATAAGATCCTTGGGGTATACGAAAGGCACGAGGGACTATACCCTGTGTTTTACTGACAGCTTAAGTTCTGAAGACCGCCAGTGTTTGGTTTTGAGTTAAATAGTGCTGCTTTATGCATGTATTCATCACTTAAATATACTCTTTTTTTTGCTGTTTAAAACTGCCAATGGGGACCGCTTGAATACTGTTAATCACAGTTGGAGAGGTCTGTGAGGAACAGGCTGGGCGAGGAAGGATGGTGGTCAGACCTTGTGTTAATTTCTGTTATGACAGAAGTTTCCACTGCCAAATTACAGCTATCTTTAAACTGACCTTTTCTGTTTAAGCAATGCAGCAAAACTTGAAAGCATGTCACCATTGCAAGATGTGCTGCTATACATTCTTCCCAGGTGGTTTAAAACAGGGATTCTGTATGCTTGTCTGAAAGAAGAAAAAGACATTTTGAAGGTGACTTCTGTGCTTGTGCCTTTAAGGATGGAAAAGTGTCATCCATTAACTCCTAGAAGAGAGTGGCATGGATTCCCTGAGCAGAAATGTGCTTTCTAAGGGTTTAAGTGTTTCCAAAATGAATGAGCAGTGCCTTTTTGAAAACCCAAGTTACAGATGTGTTCGTAAGCGTGTCCCTGTACAAAAATGTTGTGAGAAAAATAGTCAAACCTGAAACTGCATGGAGAGTAGCGGAGGGTGGTAGCCCAAGGCCAGAGTTAACACACGATGAACCAAACGTTGAATGTGCCTGTTTGTGTGACAGGAGCTGCTCCAGGAAGAAACCCGCCAGAAACTCAACCTGAGCAGTAGGATTAGGCAGCTGGAAGAGGAGAAGAACAACCTGCAGGAGCAGCAGGAAGAGGAAGAGGAGGCCAGAAAGAACCTGGAGAAACAGATGCTCGCCTTGCAGGCACAGGTAAGCTGTTGCAAATGGTGGGACTTCTGTAAGGCCTACACACTCCAGGTGAGATGGTGTCCCAAACCTCTCGGAAAAAATGTCATGTAATTTGCACACGTGCTAGACCAGATTTTGGAGAAAATTTCCTGTGGTCTTTCTCCATTGCAATAATGACAAGTACAACTAACTGCAGTGGGCAGGACTTTCCCCTCCTAGCTCACAATTTCGGTGTTACTTCAGCTAGCAATAACATCCTTTTCTGGCTTTGTATTTTTGCCTTTCTTTCCTTCTCATGATGCATTAAGGAACGTTATTTTCTTTTATTAAATTTCAGCTGGCTGATGCTAAGAAAAAGGTAGATGATGACTTGGGAACCATTGAAGGCTTGGAGGAAAACAAGAAGAAATTATTGAAGGACATGGAGTCCTTAAGCCAACGCCTAGAGGAGAAGGCAATGGCTTATGACAAACTGGAAAAGACAAAGAATCGCCTGCAGCAAGAGCTGGATGATTTGATGGTAGATCTAGATCATCAGCGCCAGATTGTTTCTAACTTGGAGAAAAAACAGAAGAAGTTTGATCAGGTAGTCTAGTTTCATGTCATCTTGCTGCTTTCTATGATTTTTAAGTGGCATTTTTTTATATTGTTTCTGCATAAATGATTCTTGTATGAAGAAAGGTCAGACTGAAGTACTGTGGTTATTGATAAATCTTTTGTGAGCAGCTTGGCCTTTGTTTAGAGTAGCTTGTCACTTTCAGTGAGCTACATGCCAGCTTTGAGTCTTGTTAGATCAAGTAATATGCTCTTTATATACAAAAAGGAAATTATACTGGAACAAAAACTTGAGGATTATTGTAGTCCCTCCAAATAGACTAAGAAAGGATGTGAAGACTGAAAGATGAAAATAATCTAAAACTCATTTAATCTTGATTAGTAGCTTGCTTTCCTCGTCTCATCCCGAGTAGCTGTAGCTGTTTTCTTACGAGCACTTTGATCACGATTGAGAGACCAGACAGCTTCTGAAGGCCAGCTAAACATACAGCACTAACCACTTCACTGGCTAAAACACCTGAGGCAGGAAGGACCTGGTCAGAGAACTTAGGAGATGGATTAATTATTTCTTATGTTCAGATGCTGGCAGAAGAAAAGAACGTTTCTGCCAGATATGCAGAGGAAAGGGATCGTGCTGAAGCAGAAGCAAGGGAGAAGGAAACCAAAGCACTGTCTCTGGCTCGGGCTTTGGAAGAAGCCCTGGAAGCTAAGGAAGAATTTGAAAGACAGAACAAACAGTTGCGTGCAGACATGGAAGACTTAATGAGCTCTAAAGATGATGTGGGCAAAAATGTAAGTATGTTTCCATACCCTGTTTTATTATATACTGCATAGGGAATAACAGAAGAAAACTCCTGGCTGGAGAAGTATATCTGACACAAAACCAGAATTTTTTGAAGCTGATTTATAACACAAAATTCTGGAGGAATTAATGCTCAGAGTAAGGGGGTGGTCTTTATCTACATCAGGCCTCCTCAAAAGATTGGTGCAGACATGGAGAGCAGAAGTTGCTGGGCAAATGACTAATGGCACCTGCCCTGGCTTTAAGAGCTTGTCTGACTGCTGCTTTTTCTGTGGCATTGCCCAGCTCATCCCTCCAGTCATCTGCACAGATGGTGGTGGTGTCTCTAATACAGATTTAGAGATGCTGCTTTGCCTGTACTGATTCATTGTCCAATTCAGGGCATCACAACGTGTCGTGTACTCCATTCATATAATGTCTCATTTCGCTGTTAATAAGATGCTGATGTTGAGACACCCGGGGGAGAGGGTCTGATGAATGTTTGTGCCTTAGGTCCATGAACTGGAGAAGTCAAAGAGAACTTTAGAGCAACAGGTTGAAGAGATGAGGACTCAGCTTGAGGAACTGGAAGATGAACTGCAGGCCACAGAAGATGCTAAGCTTCGTTTGGAGGTGAACATGCAAGCCATGAAAGCCCAGTTTGAGAGAGATCTGCAAGCCAGAGATGAACAGAACGAAGAGAAAAAGAGGATGCTGGTTAAACAAGTACGTCTGCTTTACTGTGCTTCACGGTGGGAAGGGTGTGAGGATCTTTTGCCAAAGCTCTGTGGCTTCAGTGATAACTTGCTAACAGAAAGAAAGTCTTTGCGTAAAGATCGCCTCCTATAGAACCCCAAGCAGTGATCCTTACAAGCAGTCGACAGGTCTTGTTGAGGACTGGCCACTGTCACCTCTTAGGGGTCTGCTGCTGGTGGTCCTCAGAAGCACTCGAGGTGCCAGCAGAGGGGTGGCTGTTGCTGTGTGGGTGTTTCCCAAGGACAGGGGTATGTTCTTTGGATGTTCAAGCCCATCCTGTTTGATGTACAGGAACACATCCATGGATGCCGAGATAAACTGAAAGACTGTAATTAAGCGAATAGTTTACTAAATGAAAATTGTGGCAACGATTCCAGATTTGCCAGACTTGAGAATCCCAGTAACACAAAGCAGATCAGAAGAGACTCAAATGCCTTTAAGACTTCCTGCTTGTAAGAGAAGATGGTTCTAAATGAGTGTTAAGCTTTGAGGGAAAAACACCCAATATTTCACGATTTATTTTCACAAGAAAAAATATGTTCAATTACTGAGAATCACCAATATAGAGATCTCTTAAAAATAAACATGGCGTGGAGGGCTTTTGAAGTTCACTGCAATGCAAAATTGCTGTTACCTTGTTGGACAAGAGCTCTTGACCTATAATGAGGAGGGAGGCTTGCTTCAAAACAAAATATATTGTTTTGTGTTGGTAACCTGGGGCATTTCTGTCTCAGTTTTATTTTTGCTTAAGTTTGGCTTAGGTATTTTTCTGCTTTGTTTTGAAGAAAAAAAAAATAAGTTGTTTGTATAAAGGCTAATAGCAAGGCTGTTTCAAAAGGAATGTTTATTTCATTCTTCTTGAGAAAATGGGGTGATTCTACTTATTTTCCTCTTAGTGGTTCAATGAGAATTAGTGACATCTGCCCTAGAGTGATACCTAACTGTGGATAGATGTGCTGGGCAAGAGGCTGATCACTAAGTAACTGAACAGATGTGAAATGGAAATGTTTCAGATGCTGAGTTATTGTCTTTGTTTTCCTTTTTGTCAGTTCAGAGATCTCTGCTTCCAATTTGTGGATGTGTTTTTGCCGTTTGCAGTGGCTTCCCATGAAGCTTGCATTCTGTACTCTTTTCCAAACGGGTAACGTTAGTTCTGCCCTGCAAAGGCCCTCTGGAGTCACTGGCCGTTCAGTTAGGATTTTGTGTTTGCTCCGTTCCTGGAACTGAGCCTGTTAAACCTCTTCATCGCACAGGTGCGAGAGCTGGAGGCAGAACTGGAAGATGAGCGCAAACAGAGGGCTCTTGCCGTGGCAGCCAAAAAGAAAATGGAAATGGATCTGAAAGACTTGGAAGGTCAGATAGAAGCTGCAAACAAGGCTCGAGATGAAGCGATCAAGCAGCTACGTAAGCTCCAGGTAGGCACAGCTCATCAGCCGAGCTGCTTTCTCTCCCGGTGACAGTCTGGCAAGGGTGTTGCTTTTCATGAAATACATTTGTGGCTTGAAGGCAGAAGGCATAGCAGACTCGACTGTGCTGACATGTGTCATAGAATATCTGGCCTGAACTCATCGCCTGCTCAAAACTCCTCTCGTCCTTTTGTTGGCAAGGAGTTAAGATTGTCCTCCACGTACTTCTATTCAGTAGTCGTCTTTTCAACACTCTGCGTAAGGATTTACTCAGTATTGCTTTCTAGGCTGCGTTTTTAAAATTTATTGTTGTTTGTGTCTTGAATTTACTGATCTGAGCTCAGCTCTTGCTGACTGCTGCTTCCTCAAGTGGTTGAACTTTTTAAGGGGTTTTCAGCCAAAAATGCTCCAGAGAAAAAGGAGGAGTAAATCTTAGTTGCTTTTAAAAAGTTCCAAGATGCCCATTCTTTTTAGTTTGGCAAGGAAAAAAAAAAAAAAAACAAAAAAAAACAAAACAACAACAAACAGTCCTTGTCAAGGATTCCTTTCCAATTCCCAGAAAAATATTCAACATTTGGTACAGTTCAGTTTTGCCAAAACTTTTCAGTGCCGTGGCCCAAAGCGGCAGGACCGTGAGACCATCGGCAAGACCGTGTAAAGCATATGGCAGATGAAATTGCCTTTCTGCCCTGGCCACTTTATTTTTTGGCAATCCTACTTCAACTGAATGAGGGCCGTTCTGGAACTGAGCCCTGCATGAAGCGGGAGCAGAGGTGGAAGCAAGAAATGCTGGTACCCAGCAGTGCCCCGCTTCTCTGGGCCGAGAACCTGCTCTCGGTGCACTTTCACACAAGCACCCGAAATCGGTGGTCTCGGGACTGGCGGTGTTCTGAAGATGCAGGCGCAACTGACAGTCAGTTTCTCCAGCTTTCCTGCTCTTTTAGCATCTCGGCTCAAGCTTGTGCAGATTCAGATCTCAGTCGGTGTTAAGAGCGTTTCGGAAGGGAAGCGTGTGTGCAAAATGGGGCCTTGTGTTGCTTCTGCACTGAGAATGGTTTCTTGCCTGCTTGTAATATTTGTGGGGTTTTAGTCAATTTAAGTAAATTTTTTACTTTGGCTTTACCTTTCCATAAGTTTCATGACAAATGTAATTGAGCAGCTCTTTATTAGAGGGGTTTTTTTTTCCTACAAGAAATACACCAGGTAAATTAAGTGAAGTCTTACAATGTGATATCTTTTTCAAGGAATGGAGTGATGGAAAGATGAGAAAATGAAGTTTTGCTATGAAAATAAGAACTGAAAATGCAAATACGCAGAATGAAGCCACTTTGGGTAGAAGGTCTAACCTCTTAAGGGCCAAAATGCTTCAGTTCTACTAATAAATCTTGTGATTGCTCTAACGTAGCACGGCTTTTTCTTGCCCCTGCTTTCCAACTACAGGCTCAGATGAAAGACTACCAACGGGAGCTGGAAGAAGCCCGTGCGTCCAGAGATGAGATCTTTGCACAGTCCAAAGAGAGTGAGAAGAAGCTCAAAGGTCTCGAAGCAGAAATACTCCAACTCCAAGAGGTGAGATTGAAATCCAAGAAATTTTGGTTTTCTTGCTAGACTAAGGCAAGGATCAGAGAGTAAAAAAAGTAAAAAGCCATCTAGCGAGTTGAACAGAGAAATGGGAGCCAGGAGAACTTTCTTTCCTCCCCTGCCCCAGGTGATCACTGAACTTCTTACGGCTTTGTAGGAATCATTCTGGTAGCCTGGACTTCATCGCTCTGCCTGGGTACCAGGAAAGCTTTACTACTGTTTAAACAGATTTGAGGCCTCACTAAAATTTGCAGAGTGGGTCAAGAGTCTCTGCAAGGTGCAGTGTCAGTACTGAAATCGATTATTGGAAATGTATAAAAACTGAACCATCTCTCCAGTACCTCAGTGGGCCATTTAAGTCTGGGCAAGTTTATCCCTGTGCTCTCTTAGGTCCTCATCCCTTTCTCTTACGGGCATGTGTTCCCTTGCTGTTGGCAATTTCTGTAAGAGCTCTCAGTCTTGCTACGTATCGCTTATCTCCCAGGATCTCCTTGGTCTGCCCCAAGGTCAAACATCGGCAGAACTGCCTTGAGGGGCTGCTGCTTTTTTGCCCTGTGTGAGCTGCAGGCTAAAGTTGGAAGCCGTTGCTCAGATGTCACCGCACTTACATTTGAGCCTTTACAGATAATCTACGACTTACCGGAGCTTCTCCATGTCATTCTTTCGTGGATTTCAAACTTGTCAGTCTTGCACTTGCAGTGCATTTAATTGTCTGTGGCAAGTGCCCGGGTGTTTCTGCCACTTCATACAGTTCTATAATCGGAGATCCGGTGCTGGTCATACTGTTGTGCTGCAGATTTTGTTTTCTACACTTTGCATTCGTGCTATGTACTCTGTAAGAACCTAAAACATTTGCTTGGTTTAGTACCCGCTTGACACTGAATGTGTTTGTTAGAGCATGTGACAGAATGATTTTCTGCTGTTGTTTAGGGCTTGAATGTTACGGATCTTCAGATTTTTATTTTTTTCCTTACCTTTGTGCATGGAACACTTCAGGGACAGGGAGACATAAATCCACTGTAGTCAGATGGCAGTTAGGGGGAAAATACCGAGATGCTGTGTCGTGTCAGCTTCTCCAGCTGTGGCTTCTGCTTATCCGTTGGAAGACCTCGGGGATATCCCACTTGACAGCATCTCCCAGAAGTTACTGGCAGATTTTTATTTGTTTCCTTACCTTTGTGCATGGAACACTTCAGGGACAGGGAGACATAAATCCACTGTAGTCAGATGGCAGTTAGGGGGAAAATACCGAGATGCTGTGTCGTGTCAGCTTCTCCAGCTGTGGCTTCTGCTTATCCGTTGGAAGACCTCGGGGATATCCCACTTGACAGCATCTCCCAGAAGTTACTGGAAGGCTGAATTGTTTGCAGAAATTTTGGGATTCCTAACGCTGTAAGGAATCTTTTCCTAAACCTTTGCAGGAGTTTGCTGCCTCTGAAAGAGCCCGTCGTCATGCTGAGCAAGAAAGGGATGAGTTGGCTGATGAGATCGCAAACAGCGCTTCCGGAAAGTGAGTCACCAAATGCGTTAATTGTGCATCTGCAGAACTTCAGGCACCAGCAGCTCAGTCGTCCGCTTGTAAATTCTGTATTGACCTGTCTTCATGAGAAAAA